ACAGGCCCGCCGCCCTGAGGCTGCTGCTGCCAAGGTTGGGGAGCTGGAGGAGTCGAATAGCCCTGCGGGGATCCACCCTGCATACCACCACCAGACAGCGGCGGTCCACCATAGGAACGGGGAGGAGGGGAACTCTGCTGCATATAAGGCCGCGGACCACCACCCATTCTTCCAGGACCACCACTCATGGGAGGACCTCCACGAGGGGCCATGCCAGGGCCACTGGGGCCACCTCCACTACCAAATAGATAAGGGGGGAGCCCATTGGCTGGCATCGACTTCACTGTGTGAGCACCCTGAAAAATGAATATGACAAATCTCAGCTCAAGCACGTCCTACCGCCAGTCTCTCGTTGATGAATCCAACCACAGTCAAGATACCGTCATATGGTCCCTGGATGGACACTTCTCGGTAGGGACCTCCGCTCTTGGAGATCTGTATGTCGCAGCGCCCATCCTCTTTCAACTGGTTGATAATCTCGCCACCACGACCAATGATAGCTCCAACACCACTAGAGGGGACCTGAGGAGCGTACAGTAATGAGGAGAAGAGGAGCAATGCCCCTCATCCCAGCGAATACCCACGATATGGAAACACTTATGAACGCCCACTTCAGCGAAGTCAATAACACTGTTTGATTGCACAAATTGGTCAATAGCATTGGATCAAATATTCACGCCGTAAGACCCAATAGCGTAAAATGCCTCTCCTCAAAACTGGAGACGGACCGAATGCCCTCTTCTCACTTCGAGCATGCAGGAGTCAGCAGGGCTTTCGCTCCAGCCACCCTTTCCTCCGCCCTTCATGGGTCCGCGACCGCCATACCCACCACCTGGCGGCCCCCCACCGCGCTGGTAGCCAGCGTTATAGGAGCTATCATAGCCTCCTTGATACTCGCCATAGTCCATTCTACGACGCTTCGTATCGTCATAGGGTAGAGAGGAGCTGAGTCTCTTCTGAGATCGGACCTCTGGGTGCCCAACTTCGTATTCAGAGATCAAGTCCGCGCAAGTGACCGTACCCGATACGACCTGACAAAGGGGGCCCTCCACCGCTGACTGTGGAATTTGCGCTCACCTTGTTGACGAGCTCCTCACATTTGCTCACAGCTTCCTCAGTGCCAACACAGTTGACAGTCCTGGGCATATTCTTAGCCGGGCCGTGGTAATCCGTCGGTAGGATGGCCTTGAGTGAATTCGCTCAAAAAAACCGCTTCGCTCCGTCTATTTTACCTTGATTTCTAGTCGGGCTCCCGATCGCTCCTTGATCCTTGCCAACGCGATTCCCTGTGGTCCGAGAACCTCCGGGACTTTGTGGTCCGGAATTTCAAAGAATTTTTGGATCTCGCCTTCCTTAGGCTCAAGTGGGGATACCTTCTCCCGAATGGCATCAACTGCGGCCTACACAAAAGAGGTCGACTACACACGTCCAGTTGCTCGCCGACCTGCAACTGCTCCTCAGTCTGTGCATCAACGAAGAAGATGCTATAACCTTGTTCACGAGTCGACTGGTCTCCCTGAAAAAATGAAGGATCAAGGAAATCGAAAATTTCCGAGAAAGATGTTGCTATGGCATTTCCTATGCACATAAGAACACACAAGACCTCGCAGGAAACGCTGCTCATTTCCCAGGAAGCTTCGACTCGGGAATAATTCCGGCGCGCTGCCAGTCCAGGCACTCCGCATTGAAGACCCGCAACGCCATTCTTCTCATGACGTCGACCACATCCACTACGCCCTCATTCAATTCATGGTATCGCAACGCACTGGTAACTTCACCGCTCCATGAACAATTCCGAGACGCTTTCGCTCCCTGATATTCTCCCGTGGAATAGTCTAGGCCCGCTTGCTTCATTTCGCAGAAATTGCGCACCCCTTAGTAGCACCATCCTCCCTCGACTGACTTGAACCCTGTCTGCTTCCCTTGAAAAGATCCTCAGAACTCTGGACCTCCAGATCTCTGTATTGACCACTGCAAGGGACCAGCATTCACCACATGTAATTTCAAGGTGAACTTCATAGTTATCACAGCGGTAACAACATCATTCCATCGCCACACCCACTCGTATTGCTCCCACAATACTTATGGCGAATCTCGTTCATTCCCGCTCAGGTCAAGTACTGTCATTTTAGTACGAACGTGTCGCTGCTCCACGATTCGGGACTTCCATGTGCTTGGAAGCAAAAATAGACAAAAGTCGAATGAGCTGAAATTCCTACAATGTCCGACCCAGTCACTACGTATATGTTCGCTCCCGTCTGCTGCTTCATAGTTGAGATGGTAGCGCCTCGCTTCCCAATGACCATCGGTACCAACTCCTGGGAGACCTCGACTTGATCTCTATACGGGCCAGCATCAGGGCCGTACTCGAAAGGCAAGATAGGCCCGCCACGATTACCGTTCGGACCAGGGTGACCTGCGACAAGACGAGTACAGGAAAGGACCATAACTTGCACAGATGCTTACTGCCCATGGGAGGCGGCATGGCTGCGGAACGGGGCCCTCCGGGATTCTGTTGGACGCCACTTACCGCCGGACCTTCCTGCTGCATAATTGCAACACGAAAAATGGAAACTTCACAATGGAGTCAAACGTTTCGAGAATATTGAGGAAATGCAAGATATATCAAGATTGCAAGATTACTTCAACTCAATTCTTCATGATCCAACACCGACAAGCATAGTATTACATGGCAACAAGCCTTTGCAATGTGACAAGCGGGAGTGCAAACGGCAACTACCCCAAGGCCTTTCCGTGGAAGCGGGATCGGCTCAGTATGCGTTGGTGTCGGGCGCCTGATGCCCTACTCTGGGAGATTCCCCGTAGCATTGACTGAATGTAGACTTTCGAGACACCCCTGTTAGAAAGAGGACTGTCGCCTTCAACGTCTCGGCTCGCAATGAATGTCTTGTAGAGCTTGGAAGCACTCATGGTCAGAGTTGAGTCTATGTGAGTACGGCTCCGAATCTTGTTGGCGCTCGCTCTCATCTTACTTCCACTAACACGAGGTGGTTTACCATTGAACGGGGTAACTTCATTGAGTGACTCAAGAGCTCTCCGAGTACCGCCTCGATACTCTCTAGACAAGGAAGAGTCGAGAGGCGCTGCATTCAATTCCTCACGCTTCCGCGACGCTACATCCACTCTGGGCTCGACTATGGTGTTCTCTTGACGAACATTCACTTTCTTGACAGCTTGCGCGGCCGTATTGTCTATCGAGGCCTCAGCGAATCCAACGGCATCCTCCTCAGATGTCTCAGATATGCTGTTCAACCGCAGCGTCTGTGAACTCCCATGGGGACTGTCACCTCGAGTTTTCCCCTCGGACCTGGCCTTGACCCTATTGATGGCCTTCCTTACGATCCTCTTACTGCGCCTTCGCATAGATTTGGCTATTATATGATCGAACGTGGACGTTTCGTCCGCCGATCTCGTCGCCTGGTGGGAATCAACATGACCCAGACTTTCGAAGGCTTGCGATACGCTGGCAGGAGGTAAGACTGCAGGTTCGTCGGTCAGGCCCGGGTCGTCCCGGATAGAACTCCCCGTGTCCTCCAACGGCATTTGGTTGTCTCCACTGGTCGACGTAACAGTCCTTCCACCTCGGTCCAGTTCATGACTCGTGGCCCCTGGCGATGATACGCTGGCCATAAGGCTAGTAGCGAACGCCGTCATGCTAGCACCGAAACTCATGAACATGTTCTCCACCTCCTTCGACGGGTTGCTGTCTCGTTGCCTGGTCAAACCATCCAAGCCAGAAGGAAGGCCATTGGAGTCCTTCAACGTACCGGTTGGAAACGGTTCACGGAGTGACAATGGAGCAGCAACGGCATCACTCTGGAGGTATTCGCGAGAGGCAGGCTCCTGACTGGTCTTCGGAGAGCTAGAGATCATACCATTGAGAGGTGTCTCACTATGATGATCAACCAAGCTGCGAGTCGCCTCGTGACCCGTGTCGGTATCCTCCTCCAGGTTCCTGGGGGCGTCCACAGACTTCTCGAATGGAGTGTCTGTTGGCTCTCTGGAAGGGCTTTCGTCACCCTTCCTCCCTAGACAGGATCTGTTCTTGAATGATTCCATCCTCCCACTGCGCTTAAATGACTTCGAAAAGTGGTCGACGAAAAGTCGAGATGAGTAATGGCTATACACAAGGTTCAGACTCTTACGGACCACGCTAACCTGACGCGGCACAGCCGTGCGGAACGGTCCCCTCCGAGGAGTTGGCTTAGTCCGCCGCGACACTTGCAGCCTCGGACCTAGCAGTTGACCTCGCTGTAGTAGCGTCGGAGAGACCGGCGGACCGACTGATCGTAGCGAGGCGACGTCTTCCATCGGAACCGCTGGACTCAGGGGTACTTCCGGGAAGCTGTTGGCTACGAATCCTCCTCTTGACGTCACTGAGGTCGTGCCCGTCTCCATCGTCACCATAACCATGCCTCGCTCTGGCTTTTCTCGAATCGAGTCTCTATCTAACGTCATGGGGAGTACAGGAGAAGTCGAGTCCTCTTTACTGGTGACCGCCGTGGTCTGAGGGGAGACGACCTTCGTACAGTCCTCCACACGCTGACGCCGCTTGAGCAACTCCTGTCTGTGAGCGTTCTGTCTTTCCTCCTTAGCCCAGGCCTTCCGCACTTCCTCAACCCGCAGCTCTCTATACAGCACAGGATGAGCCGCCCAAGCA